CCCCAAAACCCCAAAACCCCAAAACCCCATTGTAGAGCCCAAATGTTGGAGTAAAATTAATAGTAATGTCACATAAATATTAATTCTTGATATATAGATTTTTACATTTTAAGTAAAATTATACTGTGGTTTAGCCTCTCACTGATCAATTACATGAAAGTCGCGTTTAGTTATTAAGGTTTATACGTCCATTTGTAAGGTAATGGTCGATTATTTCTATCATCTTTTGAGGCTTATAGCTAAAGTTAAGATTGGCTCTTCTGCCTTGCATTGCCAGAGCATACAAGTCGTAAGTCTTGGCAGCTTCAATTTCATCAATAAAAGTACCGATATATTTTTTCTTATGGTCCACGTTGATCAACGCTTGCCAGTGGATGTTGTTTTTAGTGACTCCAATGTACTTGGACCTCCTTCCTAGGTACTTGTTCTTAGTATACCTTGTCTTCTTAGTCGAGTGTCTTAAAGAGGATACACGCGTTTTAAGAAGAAGACCTCTCAAGACTGTAAGTTTATCCGTAATGTCAAGTGTCTGAGACCGATTTGTTCTGTATCTGATTTCTCTGACTGTTGGTGGATCATTTTTGAGTTTTTCACTTGATTGTTGTGTTTGCTCAGAAGATGTTAAAAGTTGGTTGGTTTTTACTTCAGGTGATCCTTCTTCTACTCCAAGAAAAAGTTCAGAGTATTTTTTATCCTGCTCTGGTAAACTATTGCATGATTAGATCAGTTTAAAAGAAGAGTCACGTATTAAAGTTTGGATACTACTTTCTTAATAAATTTGTATATAAGAACAAATTTTACCTTATGTGAGGTGAAATCTCTGAAGCATTTGGAGTTGGCAGAGAAATGTGATTTTCTTGTGATCAAAGACTTTGGTTTCTCGTATCATAGACTCTTCCTAAATGGCAGACTCAATAGGTCTTGCAAAATTCTCTCAGTACATTAAGTAAGTTTCACATTGGGAGGGAATCTCTTGAAATGGCATTCCAGTTTATGTTCAAGTCCATATTTAAATTAATATTATTAAATCTTTACTTTAGCGTCTTTATGTATAAGCCAACAAAGTTTACTCTGAATGGCTAAAATGCTCAGACAAACTAATGATCCCACAAAAAGTTGAGGATGACTAGGCTCTTGATATTAACCTGCTGTTCAGCTGCTTGAACATCTACTGAATTTTGAAGAGTGTTTTAGAGTACCACATGTGTGTTTCGATTCTTCATAAATTAATAATGCCTTCTTTGTTGGGGAAAGATCTCTAAGACGCAGCGAAAGATGTTCTGATTTGAAGACATTAAGTTAATAATAAAATTTAGCCGTATTCATAGAGTTTCATAGCCATTGACTTGTTGGTTAGGTAGTTTTGAGTATCCTTGGAAGAAAATTATTATTTAAAAATCTACAAAATGGTGATCGTCTTCAAGCATTGTCTTTGAAAATATGCCAAAATTTTTATCTGGTTAGCAAGACGATGTTTCGAAATAATAGCTATTTTTAGAATTAGCTGAGTCTGATTTATTTAAAAGCGAGAGTAATATGATTCAGAAAATTTTAATTTGGCACTTAATTTTTCCAAAAAAGTACTTCAGAAGCAGTTTGTCAATTAGGAGTTCCTTTGAGCATTTAGGCTCATGATGTTAGTAATAACCTTACAGATGATAAATAGAGAGGGACAAGCTAATCACTCTTTTTTGAAATTTTGGTTAAGTTTTATATAAACTATTTTATCTTTGATGATAAAGATTAAGGAATGAATCGACCGAGGACTATTAAATGGATAAAATCTCTAGACATTTAATTGTGAGCTTCGACGATATCATTTCTTTTATTTTACTCATTTCTCTCTCGAAATTGATAGATAAATTTAAGGAGAAATTAAGTAATTTGAGATAAGTGAATTTCAAATATTTACTAATAGCTTCTGTTCTTTAATTTCTATGAAGTGGAGAAAATGGGATCTAGTTTAATGAAGGAAAAAGTATAACCAACTCAGATTTCCCCTTGTCATTAGCCTCATCTTCTTTTAATAATATCGAAAACACTAAGTTTATTCTAGATTTTCCCTTTTAATCACCCTAAATAATAACAAACTCAGACACAGCTGTCAAACATATGAAATTCAACTCAAACACCACTCTAAAAAACCTATAATACCAATTTTTGCTCCATTTCTTACTCCAAACCTTCTTAAAACCTTCCCAATCCAATTCAGCATCCATTTCTTAATTTTCAACATGAAGATCTTAATTAGGGGTTTTGGGGTTTTGGGGTTTTGGGG